GATAAGGTTGATAGTACCCTCACGAATATAGATAGTGTAAACATAAAAAAACGAGTATAAGCTAAAAATTCTTAATGATTATGCTCTCTCCTCTATGAGATATATGTTATCTGTACATGACCTTCATGCAACTCACTTTGGACAACTAGATACACTTCTAGACAAATACATTAAAAAGTGGATGGGCATCCCTCGGTGTGGTGCCAATATTGCTGTAGTTCATGCCCCAAGGGGGCTTAATATTCCCACTATCTCTGAACTCTACCAAAAATGTCATTGCCTTGCCTACAGTAGATCTAAAGTTAAAGGCGACGAAATGGTAGTTCATGCCCTAGATCAACAAATGGCCAGAGAGTAAAACTGGACCAAAAAGTCATCTACAATCCAGGTTGCACACCAAATTCATTAATGTTAAATATTTGAGTTGACAATTCCATTTGAAACCAACATTCAACAGGCCCACCAAAGAAAGCTTGACAGGTACGCCGGACTAATACATGATATCTCAGAAGCCGGCTGGACTCCCAAATTACTGTGTGTAGAGATAGGTTCCCGAGGTTTGACAACTCCTGACAACAAAAAAAAACTTATAGATATGTTGAAAACATGTAAATGCAAAGTAAGGTATCCACAACTGAGAAATGAAATCTTGAAAACCGTACTGTTTAGGTCGTATGTTATTTTTTACAGCCGGTCGGAACGCACCTGGCAATCACAACATTAACTACCTTGTACGACTTGCAATAGCGAGACCTCTTTCTCTCCCTCTCCCTCTTTCTCTCTCCCTTTCTCTCTCTCTTTCTCTCTCTCTCACTCTTCCCCTCTTCAACCCTCTCTCTCTCTATGGAGATAGGTTCCCGTGGTTGATTACTCATTAAGAAAAAATTGATAGATATGACCACGGTATGTAAATGCATTATGAGGCATTGCTAACTAAGAAAATAATTATTATTTTTGTTTTTGTTATTTTGTATTGTAATTGTTTAAGCCTGCATGAGATGCATCTAATGTAATACAAATCTCTGTCCTGGGTTTTATGTCACATCTTTATTATTATGTTATCTTGAATAAAGATGAATAAACAACACTCCTTTTCCTCGTCATTTAGGTTAAAGAATTCAATGCGATCGATGCCTGGTCAAATTAATCTCCTCTAAGTGTAGTTTGTATACCTCTGGGGAGGTACACCACGCGTAGCTCTTCTAGGGTACCTCCTTTGCTCCAGCCGTTGTTCCTTTGGAGACAAAGGATTGGCGGTCTGTGCCACCACTGGTACATTTTCCAATTCACTCCCATTGTTACTGGGACAAGGACTGGCGACATGAGAGACACCGACTTCAGACTCACAAGTGCCTTCATCTTCATTACCCGGGGGTCCAGAGGAGGAATCCCCAGAGCTACTAGTGCCTCCCGAAAGGCTCCTGGGAGATTCAGTTTGAATTGGACATTGGCGGTAGTGTAGGACATAACCAACAGGTGTTCGGCTTTCTGATTCAGTTTCATCTTCCGTTAACTGTTTGTCTACATCTCCCCCTGGTAGCCAGGGGCAGTGTTTCAACTGGGTCCTGTGTAAGACCCTCTCCTTGCCCAAATGGCTCCTTACTACGTAGACTGGGCGATCTGGAAAGGGCTGCTTTACCACCATAAAAGGTTCTTCCTCCCAGTAATCGGCTATCTTTGATCGACCCCTGAATCCATGTCGTCGGACTAGAACATACTGGCCTACTCCAAGAGGCTTCTCAAAAACCTTCCGGGCCTGGAGTGCTTTACGTGCCTCCACCGCAGCCTTAGCGTTCCTCGTTGCAATGTCATTATGTACGCATCCCATACTCAATATGCAAATTAATTGGTGTCAGATGGTTCAACTAGAAATATACCAACAGTCAGTCATCAACTGGCGCAACTGAAAATATGCACACGGACCAGTAATCAACTGGTGTGATGAAAATATGCCAACAGTCAGTTATCAACTGGTGCAAATAGAAATATGCCAACAGTCACGGGATTATCACCGCGGAACTTAAATGGTAACTGTGAAACCATCAAGACACCCAAGAAAAACTCATTGTTCACACCTAAATATCACGGATTCACATCTAAGATTAGTAATCAGTTTTAGTCACAAGATCATCACCGTGGTACTTATGGCAACTTTGACTACCATTTAAAAACAGGTGTTTCAAGACACCTAATAATGACTAATTTTTCACACCTAAATATCACGAATTCACAGCTTAGATTAGTAATCAGTTTTAGCCACGTGATCACCACCAAGAAAGTTATGGTAACTTTGAAACCGATCAAAAGGGTGTTTTCAGACACCTAAGAATTACTAATTTTCACACCTGGAAATCACGGATGCCCAGCTTATATTAATAATCCGTTTGAGTCACGAGATCATCACCGCGGAACTTATGGCAACCTTGACTACCATTTAAAAAGGTGTTTTAAGACACCTAATAATTACTGATTTTTCACACCTAAATATCACGGATTCACAGCTTAGATTAGTAATCAGCTTGAGCCACGTGATCATCACCAAGAAAGTTATGGTAACTTTGAAACCATTCAAAAGGGTGTTTTCAGACACCTAAGAATTACTAATTTGACACAACCAGAGATTCACGGACAGAACAATAAGACGATTAGCCGGTGCTAGTAACGTGATTATTACGATCAACCTTGGATAACCTGTGAAATGATCGATAAAGGTGCTTAAAAGACCAAATAATTACTTATTTATCACCACCATCGGTTAACCGATACAAAACTCGTTGCTTGGTCAAGTGGTTATTTGGTCATAAACACTTGATTTACAGAGGTTAGTGGAATCACGTTACTCCAGTCGATGAAAACGTGAACAGGAGTACCTTTTGTATTTAAATGAAGACACGTGTCGATAACGTTTAAATCTAGTTCAAAAGGCACCATACTTTAAAATCAATTAAAATACATTCCCAAAAGAGGTTATTTTTTAGTGTTCTGTTTATTGGGTTACCTCTCACATACATGTACATGAACATCTACAATATATGAGATATTACTATTACTAAATTTACTTTCACGTTACCTGATACAGGTATTACATCAAATATTCTTCAATTTACATTACTCTCCTCCATAAACAAACAAAATACATATTACAAAAAAGAAAAACAAGGCAGCATAAGTCAAAATGACATATTCAAAAGAACCCAATGTGTATCCTAACTTAACAGACTTTGAATTTGACATATGGCACTGTTTTTTTATAACTATGACCAAATAGCTAAATGGCCCTTTGAGAGCCTGAAACTTTACAAAGATAACGAAGTAGAAATCAGTTACAACTTTTTCTTGTAGCATTGACCTAGATTGACCTCCCATAGCTTAATGAAAATTTGCCAACGTTGCCTTATGTGCGAGAGGTATCCCTGAACAGCAAATTGTTTACGGAATTTCGTAACAAAATTGACATACCTTTTTGGTTGGAGCCGAAAAAAATATATAGCTACAAACAATATGTTTTTTTTCTATTGATGATTAATGAGCATGGCTGGATCTTAAAGAACAGTAATCTGAATTAACTCCTGTATCTTGATGGAACAGTGCAATTGAAAATTGTGTCTCGGACGTTACATTTTCCGTAAACAATGAAGACCCTCATTTAACCCACTAGAACAATACATTATTGAGATTGTATATGTTTTGAATAAGCTTATTAGTTACTGCAAGTCATTAAATTAAAAGAAAATATAATTTAATTATAGTAGCGCTTATATTAGAAATATACTTAAAATTTGAAAAAGTTGTTTCATTTTCCGTAAACAATTTTGTAACGTCCGAAACAACTTTCAATTTGAAGTAGCAGAAAATATATGAACTGCAGGATCTATCTATCGTAACATTTTTTAAATATTTCATTGCGGCTACCCACTAAAAAAAAAAGAAATTTCCAATACATCACTACAATACTATTTTATAGTTAAAACCAATTTTCCGTTAACAGTTGTAACGTCCGAAACAAATGTAACGTCCAAAACAAAAAATATCAATTAAATGATGATAATCTATATTTTAGGGTATCTGGAGTGAATAAATCATTATGAAATAAGTTATTATAAGTCTTAACACAAGTCAAAACACATATCAGGTCTTTCAAATCCAATAATTTTATGTAAGCTCAAGAAGGGTGTTTCGGACGTTACACTATTTGATTGTTAACACATAGTTATCAAATTTCAACTAATTTTCGATCATATGTGCAAGTTACGATTTCAAAATGCATACTCCTGTTAAAAACACTATTTTGATAATTTTGTTTAGATTTAAATATAAAAATATGAAGAAATATGATGCAAAAATCAAATTCTCCGTACAATATCTTAATTTTCTGCAAAATTGACTTATAAAACCCAAAATATTGAAGCCACACTTTGTGATGCAAGGCATGGCTGGCTGCTTAAGTATATCCTTAATTGTAATTTATCAGAAAAAATCTCAATAAAAGTGACTCATACAAAATATTCAGCCATTTTAACAGCACTTTCTGGTATGCTGTCAGCACGTTTCGGACGTTACATTAAACTGTTAACGGACATTTTCATACTTTAACTAGTTTAAATGAGGGGCAAAGACAGATGTGAGAATAGCAAATTTCAATTTTTCAACCTCTTCTCCTGCTATTTACATCGCTGTGTGTTTGCAAATCATCAGGTTTTCATTTTTACAGAGATTGTTCCAAATGATGTCATATAACCAAAGATTGTATGGTCAATCTGAACTATTTAGTAGGTTACATAAGCATTTATAACTACACGTTCTTGAAATGCACAGTATACCTTACATAAATCGGGTAGTCGATGATGACAAACTAGGTTTATGTGCTAAACTAATCAAAACTGGACAATTTTTTCCATAAATGTATTTTATTTTAACAATTAATGTAACTTAGGTCAATAATACCTAAAGAAAGCAACTAACTTGAATAAAGTTATGATGTTAACAGTGTGTAACGTCCGAAACACCAGTGGTGTGACATATGAAAATTATTAAGCAATGCACTGGTTCCCAATTTTTGGGTATATATTTATCTTATATCATCGGTTCTTATATTAAAATAAGTTTGACCCAAGAAAAAAGCACTTTACCTATTGAAATAAAAACTCGTTATTGTCAAAACCCTAATTTAGAGCTATTTTTCACTTTCAAGGGATACAAAATCTTTATTGTTCAAGATAAAAACTCAAAAATTTGCAGGAATACTCTCTGAAACATATTCTTAAAGACCAACATAGCTGTTGGTGTAGTTAATAGCAAATGAGTTTTATATCACAGTTATTAGATATGCTAAAGTTCACAATAAAATGGTAAGAACTCGAAGTATTCATATCTGGTGAATAAATAGGGAAATAGATTAAGCTCCGAAATTTGCATTTCTCAAAAACACGAATAGTCCTGATCCTAAAAATACACGTTTACAGTAAGTAAATATAATTTCATTTTTGACCCTTTTGTGGACAAATTTGGTATATGTTTAAAAAAACCAGTGCCATATCTGATTAGTGTATTCAGGACATATCATTGTTCATAATACAACATTTATATCATAACAGGCTTGTCTGCTGAAGCAAATGATTCATGACGAATCACTTTGAATTTTATGTTCAATTTGGTTTAACTCAAGCTATCTAAACCTTGTGATATCTATGTTGTCAAAGCAAGATTATGCTGGCTTGATTCCATTTCTTTACACGGTCACATAAAAACATCAACACTGGAACAACCCAACAATTCAATAAGTATGATCGACAAAAATACAAAGTAGGGTTGTACGACAAAATTAATTGGTTGGGAGGAGTTTTTTTAAACATCTTTGGATTTTCTAAGTGATTCGATGACGCCATACGTGGTAACAGCGGAACATAATTATGTCCACAAACGAGATCGAGTAATGTTTTCTATCTAGAGTTGGATTTTAGCCTTAACTCCTTAAATTAAAGCACAATCAAACTTTCAGCGATGCTAAAGTCATAACAAATATATATTTCACTCTCCTGTTTAACAACGGTACCGATATGACTATGATGTAATGGTGAGTTAACACAACAAGTATAGCAGTGATCATGAAGACGATGGTATAAGATAAGATGGCGTCAAACAAAGCTCCTGGATGAAGAGAGGATTCATTTCAATTAATCATGCCTGGAGCGATGCTAAACGTGTTTGGACTTGACTCTCCTGTTTAACAGTACCGATATGACTACAGTGTTGATGGTGAAGAACAAAACAGGGAATCCAGTCATCATGAAGACGATGGTATAAGACTGGATGACGTCAAACAAAGCTCCTGCATGGGAGAATAGATTAAGAAATAATAGAAAAAAATTGCTAGCTTGGATAACACAAAATAATAGGCGATGAATTGTCCAGATCTTTGAGTGTTTAAAGGTTCTATTTGAAAATATCAGAAATATTTTAGAGTAAAACTGAAATAGCTTCATTGTTTTAATTTCAAGTCCCTCATAGTGTGGAAAATCCTAGGCGAAATACTAATCACTAAATTTGGTCTAAGAAAATGACAGGCTTACCATTTCGGATTTGTAAAAAAAGTTTAACAAAATTATGTTAAAAAAATAAATATAAAGCATATCAACAATAAATAAATGGAAAAATACCACCTCGTTTAGATATTAGAGAATTAAATGACAAATTGCATTGCATTCCACTGATTATGGATTTTCACGAGTCTCGAAACAGAGTGAAATGTTAATAGAACTCGTTTTTGTGAGATGGAAGAGGAAACCCTGATGTGGGTTTTAGAGACACTTTAAACAACTGAACCATCCCTACTAGGAAAATCTATGAATTAACAACGAACTGCATGGTGTTCTATTGTACGAGGCCTTGTACTTTATTGAAGATATTCTTTCGTTTATTATCTTGATAGCTTATGTCTGACTGTATATCGTTAACATGTTGGATAAAAAATAAATTGAAAATTGATCTGACAAAAGAAGTTGTAATAAAAAGAGGCATTCTCTAGTCTTAATCAGCTTTGGGATAATAATATACAAAGCTTGAATTTAATATTATTCCAGAGTGTCAAGATATTTGTCTACCTGTGAGTAACCCTGCCGAGATATTACCGGAACCGTGTATTAACAGCGCCAGTCCAAGGCCGAAACTGAAGTTGTTTTCATCTACCAACGTCAATTTAAGAAAGGTTGCGTCTGCAGTATCCAGTACAAAAAAGCAGAGGCCCTGAAGAAATGCCCAAACTGAACGAATGATGAATGATTCGCCGACGAAATCAAAGAAAAATGACAAGCTGGTAAGAAAACCAACGATGATGTAGATTTTGAACATGTGTACTTTCTTAATGAGGAGAATGACTGCAATGGTTCTGCCTATAATCCCACCGATTCCACCAATTGAAGACAAGAAGACAGCTCGAGATGGGGTGATGCCTAACTGCTCTGCGTGAGGCACTAGGTACAACACCCAGGCTTCGAACGAATAGGCACGAAAGTAAGTCGCTGGGAGGCACATTAAGAACAAGGCTTCCTCGGTCATAAACAGTTTGCAGCGAGATATAAATGATGTGCAGAAATAATTTTTCTCACTATCATCTTGACCAGATCTTGAGGCATTGAGAAGATCACCCACCTCACCAGGATGATCGCATGCACTTTTTAGCAAAGAAACGTGCTCCTCACAGTTATCATCTTCATTTAAACCCCCCTCACCCTCATCGGATCTTTTTATATCATATATTACGATTGCAGCATTTTGTGTGTCCGTACTTTCAGAGTTTTCCTTGATGTCAGAACGGCTTTCTGCCTGGGCCTGGACCGTATCGTTTGTCGATTCATCTTTCAATGTTGTCATTTGATCACCTCCTTCTATACCATCTTCCTCGTCGTCATCCTCCGACAGCTCATAACGGATCACCTCCGACGGATCTTGATCACTACCACTTTGTCCAGTGGTGTTATCTTTCACGCTGAAGATTGGTTTCCGAATGGCCGCTCCCCCTGCAACCTTATGAAACATGATTGCTCCAAGAATCATGAAAACTCCAGAGTAACCGTACGCTTCTAAAGATCGCTCAGCGATAACGGGTAGGAACATTACGCCTACTGTTGAACCATATGATGCTATGGTGTTTATTAGAACAAAATTCCTTTTGAAATACTGGTTCATCAGGAGAGCAATCGGTAAGTAGACACAACATCGGCCAATTCCTGTCAATGAGATAACAAAGTGTTGTTAAAAAGTAGCATTAGTGAAACATATTGCAGATTAATGCTAAAGATATCATTGCTCGCTACTACACTGTCGCTCATATAGTTGGAATATTTTTGTTTTACCCCAATTCATGGAATGATTTTAAAAATAATTTAAAAATAATAGATCTAGATAATAGTATACATTTTCAGATTTTATTGAATAATTATTTGACAATGTGTGTTTTGCGTGAATGCTAAAGCATGTGTATGCTACTATGCTTATCAAATAGGGGACCTACGCCTTTAAGTCATACATGACAGTAATGAGGATTAATGCCCCCACAAAAGGGCACTAATATAGCACATCGACACGGTTTTGATCCTGGGGCCTCACAGTTATGAGGCCATTGCTCCGTCACTGAACCATGACTGTACGCAGCGGAAGTTTTGACGTTTCATTGAATTATTAGAGAAAGCAGACGATTCGTTGTACCGTTTTCGACTGTTAACCCTAATTTGTCTGAATAAATTTACACCCTAATTTGTCTGAATTCAGTTACCCCCTTTAGCGCGAAGCGCGGAAGCTTTGAAGTTTCCTTAAGTTATGAGAGAAAGCAAACGATTCGTTGTACCGTTCTCGACTCGTCTAAATGAAGTTTTCCCCTCCCGCGCGAAGCGCGGAATTTTTGACGATTCGTCGTACCGTTGTTTGTATTGAGTTTCCCCGAAAATTGTAAACCTCTGATTTCTTTAACGGATATTTATATAGGAAAGTGAAACTTCAAGAAAATACAAGTATTGTAGTTGTACTAGTAGTCACCGTCGAAGTCGTCACAGCGGATAAAAAGTCACAGTTCGTAGGGAAAAAAACTTGTCGGCCGACTGACAATTTCCATCTCATCGACTTAAAACTTTTGCATTGATATAGTACACGAGGATCGAGCAAGAAGACCCGGCACAGCAACATATTTACCCGTGTCTTTGTTGCCCGACGAGACGACTCCACCCAACAACCCCCTCTCTCTTTTACTCCCACTCCTCCTCTCTCAGGCTCTTACCACCCCCTCTCTCCTCTCTTTCACCCCTGTTTCTTTTGTTTCTCTTTTCTCTTTTTTCTTCTTTTTTTCTTTTTCTTTCTTTTCTTCCTTTTCCTTTTTTTCCTCTCCTCTCTTTTTTTTCTTTTCTTTCCTTTCTTTTCCTTTCTTTTCTTTCTTTTCGTTTCTTTCTTTTCTTTTCTTTTCTTTTTTTCTTTTCTTTTCTTTCCCTTTCCTCTCTTTTCTTCCCTCCCCCTTTTCTTTTTTTTGTCGACAGCAGCGCAATTTTACCAATTTTACCTGACAGGTGGGGGTGTCGCACCCCCACACCCCCCGTTTGGCGACGCCCCTGCAGACACTCCCATTTATTACCCCTCCTATATTATGACATACCTGTGAGTGCCAGGGAGACACACCCAATATATTACCCCTTCCAATTATCACACACATGTACGTGCCATGATTGGTGATACAAAGACCGGCAATGTTAAAGATAAAGCCACATGATACTACACATGACACCCCATTTATTACCCCTTCTATTGTATTTGTGAGTGCCCGGGACCGGTAATGTTCGAGATAACACCACATTCCACCCAATTTATTACCCCCTCCTATTATGACATACCTGTGAGTGCCAGGGTGACACCAACGGCGGTTGTATGTTTAAAATGAAACCACTTGATACCAGACACACCCATTATAACCCCTCCTAATATGACAATACCTGCGGGCGCCAGGGTGATACCAAGACCGGTACATGTTGGAGATGAAACCACATTATACCAGACAAACCCATTTATAACCCCTCCTAATATGACTTACCTGTGAGTGCCAGCATGAAACCAAGTCCGGTAATGTTGGAAATGAAACCGCAAGCTACCAGAAAGACCCCACTTATTACCCCTCCTATCATGGCAACGATTCGATGATCTACCCTCTGGAGGACTAAGGAAACGAAAGGACCTGCATGGACATTGATTAAATTATTGAAATTAAAGACACATTGTGTTTAGAGTGAGTGTGTTTGTGTGCGGGGGGGGGGGGTTGTAAGACCTGTGAAACGAGGATAATCATATGTATACATAACTTCCTAGTGGGGATACACTGGCACCTGTCGATATCACCAGTTGATAACTTTCTTATTTTTTGCTTATTTCGGTAAAAGTGACACGAGAGGAGTCTACGGTCCTTAACAGCGCTCAAAATACACGGGGGCGGTGGGCGATTCGCCCCCGTGAGCTACAAAATCGCCCCCGTCAGGTTGCTCACGGGGGCGATTGCAAAATTAAAAATCGCCCCGGTGGAATTATAAAATAAAGATTATCTTTTCTGTTATAACTTTAACACAATATTAAGTTTCAATTTTCAAACCTTAAACCAATGAAATGGAACTAAGATTAGCGTGCAAGATTTCTCGTTTTATGAGTAGGCCTATTATTACCGATTCGGCTCGCAGTGCAGTGCCGCCGTCAGCAGTGGTTATAGGCCTACTGCGCCGTTAGTAGCGGTGCGTGTGCATGCTGCCGCGCCATGTCTGCTGGAGCTGGAGGCGATCGCGCAAGGGCAGAAACATGGTCATGGCCTGGAGAAGTTTTTCGTTGTCAGCAAATAATGAACCTCAACCAGTAAATCAATATTAGGGACTTTTAGATTTGCACGATGAGAACGTGGACTGCAACGTGTGACCTCCTTTTAAGGCACTGCCAGTGCTTAAAAGGACGTCACATGTGACTGCCAGTGCCTTAAAAGGACGAAACACGTCCACGTCCACGCAAATCTAAAATTCCCTTTTGAGGAGAAGAGGAAGACCAAAATGTCGTGGAATGATATGGTAACATGGGCAGATATACGGGGGGGGGGGGGGGGGTTAGGGGGTTTAACCCCTCCTCCCACCCCCCGGCCCCCTTGGGCTGCCAAGTGCAAATGTGATATTAAATTAAAGCGGGGGGGGGAGGGGGATGCTGGAGAGGAGGACTACTAATCTATTTTATTTTTTTCAGGGGGCGAAGCGCCGTTTTAGCATGACTTTCTTTTTAACTCTTACTTTCACCTATCTCAGATAACCCTAAGTTTTTGGTTGCTGCTTTATATGTAGTTAATAATGCATGATTAAAATAGAGAGAGAGAGAGAGAACCACCATCATTTTGCAATGGTTCAGGGTTCATGTAATGTACATTTGAAACCATTTCATAGCGTCTCAACCCTAAAAAAATAGCAAAACTATTTTTGAGGAAAAGCATTATACTGAATTAAATAAAGAATAATAGCTTTATATTGGATCATACTAATACTGATACGGGGTAAATACAATGTGGTATTTGTATAGAGGTATTCCAAAATGACATTCTGATAATCAACATTTGTTCTGGTATCATATGTATATACGCATAATACAACTGATCTTTATGATTTCTTAACGTGACATAGCTTCTTCTCCCTCTGCAAACAAAACAGAAAACAAGGTTATTTAATAAAAAGACCATGCGACAAATAATCATCGTGATACAAATTGATGCAAGGATCTTTTTTTGAATAAGCAATGCTTTTCACCAGAATCTTCTTTGTAAAAACGACTTTTACAAATCTCAGCCATGCAATTCTGCCACTGTGCTGTAAGATCACTTTGAGATAAGGAGAAGTGTATTATGTAATGGGTATTTTAAATTGAATGGAACGTCTCAACTCAGTAAGCATGGCTGAGATTTGTAAAAGTTATTTTTACAAAGAAGATTCGGGTGAATAGCAGTGCTTATTCAAACAAATATTCGCATCAATTTGAATCAAAATCATTATTTGTCGCTTAATCCCTTTTAATGACCTTGTTTTCTTTTTTGTTTGCAAGGGGAGAAGAAGATATGTCACGTTAAAGACATCATAAAGATCAGTGTTGTATGCGTATATATTATATACACAGGCCAGTAACAGCTATGTAGCTTGTAAATTTGTAAGAGAGAAAATGCTGATTGAAATGATAATGATGAAATAACAAATAATTGAGGAGTATCATAGGTACCAATTCAATGGATATTTCTATAAAAAAGAGCCCCCGTCAGTAATAAAAGAGCCCCCGTGAGAAGGCTCACGGGGGCTCTATTTTTTTTTTTGGGGGGGGGGGGGGGGAGAGCCCCCGTAGACAAACAATTAATTTGAGCCCTGGTCCTTAAGTTCCTAGATGAGTTCCAAGACATCCACATTTTTATAGTAAGACGCCAAATTTTCGAGCGCTACTTTGTGTATTGTCTGAGATTTAAAAACAAATTCGAATAAATCAACAGCGCCTAGTAAACTCTCACACAAAGAAACAGGAGGCTAAATTCTTGTTATTCTTTGACAAAATGTAATTGTATTAATTTATATGGCATTACATGAATCAAAGAAAAGGAATCTTTATAAAAACATCGCAAATTTGGTTGTTTTGGGAGTCAAAATAGTTGAAGTGTAGTTAGAAATGAAATAAAACAACAAAAACAATAAAATACAAAAGTAAAAAAACAAAAACAATGAAATACATAAGAAATTATCAAAACAAACACCCTCACCGTCCTAGCAAGTCCGAGCCCGTCCAGATCGTAAACAGTTGATACTACGTTCACTCCCTTCGCACACAATTTGAGCCCGTTTAGCAACATTTTCCAGCATGTAGTGAGAACTAGTTTGGTGTTATGAGGGCTTTAACTGGGTAATTATTGATGGGTGTTCGGGTGTGTGTACATGGAGGGGCGCGGTATGGAAGGCCATTATGAATACGTTACAAATTCGGATACATTTAATTGGAAAAATAGAGTCTTTGTACTTTAAAGAATATATATAAAAAAGAATCAAATAATTCACCTGAAAAGAGCATGATTGTACCGGGTAAACTGCAGATGAAGCCTACTGTGGCGTAATTTCTGTTGAATCTTTCAACCATCACTGGGAGGAGAACGCCGAAAGCCTTGGTGATCCCAATCGCCATTTCTGTCATGAATTTGCATAGTACGATGACGTAACCCCACTTCCAGTTTAAAATGGAGATCTCTTGTCCTCTTGATGACTCCATTATTTTCTGCAAGCAAAGTAGTCGTACAAGAGAATACATAGTAAACTGTTCTCACCTATAAACGACGTGTACATCTGAAATGTCATTGTATTCTACTCCGAACAGATTAAGTGTATCAATCAATCAATAAATCTAATCAAATTAAATTAATAAAATGAATCATCATTAAACTGATCTATAATGGGTTAATCAATTAATTAATCATACAATATGGCAATATGGTGAATGTTTACTGTAGAATAAATCATTCAAATCTGAAGAAAAAAATCAATCAATCGATCAACCAATCATTCAAACATTTAATCAAACATTCAAACAACCAACAAACCAACTAACCCAAAAAAATAATCAAACAATCAACCAATCAATTAATAAATCAATCAACCACCACACCAACCCACCAACTAACCAATCAAACGATCACCCAACTAATATAAGTGTTAAGTGGAGCCAGACGTAAAGGTATATCTTAAAGAGCACAATTTATGTCAGACTTACTCTCATGCATTATATCTGTAATGTATGTAGACCAGTAGATTTGGGAATCAAAGATCACGAAAGTTAATAATGCCCACACTGTTTATCATTCTCCTTATTTTCTAATTCACGCTGTTCAAACGAAAATAAATTATTTTCCATCGCGCTTTCACCCACCTGCTGAAGAAAACATATAAATTACTTTCCAAACACTTAGGGGAGCACCGCTCATCTAGGACGGCTGCGGACGTCTCGTTTACTGGCACCAAGTAACACTACACACAGGTTATCTTGGATAATGAAATTTGATACATACCTTCTCAAAATACTTACGTATGCAAAATTATGCATATGAAAAGAACACCTCTTTTCGTCAATGTGCGTTCTTACACCTGTCAAGCCAACCTTTTAAGCATAATCTATTGAACTACTCCACCTGTCGAACCAAACTTGTAAGCAAACTAAGGCAATTGTCACACATCTCCTGTTAAGGCAAGGTTGCGAAGCCCTGGCACCATCTAGTCATGCAGAACATAAGCAAGAAATTCAACTTTCCTAAAGAATCTGTAAAGAAGGAAAAATTCTTTTAGAATTTTTAATATCGGGTGGTCCGCACTGCCTCGTTAGATAGCAGTCAATGACCAACGCCCTACTGTTATTCAACCTTCCCGCCACGCGACTCTTGCATACATTATGCAAAGTGGGGTCAAAGCTCCGATGGAAAATGTCATTCTTTTTCTCGCCCAGAGTGATTGGCCCGAATTCACAAAGCAAGGTTTGAGCTCAGACCAAGGTTTGACCTCAAACCTCCTTTTGTTTCGCCAAACCTCTCTTTGTTATTTACAAACCAGGTTTGTAAATAACAAAAGGAGGTTTGGCGAAACAAAAGGAGGTTTGAGGTCAAACCTTGGTCTGAGCTCAAACCTTGCTTTGTGAATTCGGGCCATTGAGAGCGAGCACGTTCAACAGTATTACCAATTCAACATAAAGTCCACCTTTTCTTCTCTGTTCCATGCCCGAGTGGAACACAATGCAAGTTGTTTTTTTACAGTAATAACTGTCTGGTATGGGCAATTTTTTAAAATAAAACCGACATGTATTCCATAGAGGTGGTGAAGCCAAACAACCGTCGATATCACGTGGAGACTGAGCTTTTGTCTACTAAGTGTCCTAGTTGCACTCAAGCGATGGGTGAACAAGTTTAATTGAACAAAGCTGGTGTAGCTATGCGAGATAAATATTTTTTCTTTAATTCCACATACTTTTCTGAAGTTCAGTTCAATATTTATTCACTATGAAATAATAATTGCAGTATAATCAAGGGAGGAAAGGGACAGTAGTTTGAAAATCGCACAAATAAACTACGTACACTGTTGCTCATTAACGTGGAATGTTTTTGTCCAACCGCTTTTCATGAAATGAGTGTGACAATATAATTCATTCATGATCGATTTTATATCTTTTGAGAGCTTTATTGATCAATCTCTATGATTTTAGGTTGATCAATACAGTCCTGAGAAGATATAAACTTAATCTATGAAGAATAAATCATATTCTCGGCACAATTAGTTCATGAAAGAGGTCAGAAAAAGTTGTTCCAATTTTATGGGTAAGCGTGTAAAGGACTACACTACAGTATTGGAAAATGGCGTAGTGATATGGTTAACCCTACCACTATACAGATAGCATTTTAGCCTATCTGTCCATAATCGCCTCTCTGTATGCAACTCAACCCCACCGCCTCCACGTGGCACCAGGAGCGGCGACCCCGGGAGAGGGGAGGGGGGGGGGACACGTCACCCCTCAATTTTTTTAAAAAAAAGTGAAAAGTAAGAAAAAAAGTAAGTGTATAGCAAATACTGACTAAAGACTGCAACAGACTTTTAGGCTTTGGAGGGCCAAATAGTGCAGCGTTTAGACAAATAAAAGTGCAACAATCTTCTCGCTCGGGAGCTAAGCTCCCTCGCATAATATTCTTCAACGTGTAGAGTAAATATTCTAGAAAAGTGAAGAGTGCAAAAAGTATATTGCTTGTTTTTATACTATTGTTTTGCTAAGGAATGTAATTTGTTAATACAACAAAACTTCAAAAACCTGTGGGGGGGAATTAGTCACTTCCGTCACCTTCACCCCTCTCGTTCACTATGCTTCCTCACCCTGGCGTAATGATGGGGGGGGGGGGGGAGCTTGGGGGTAGTTGCCCCCTAATGAAATTCAAACTTGGTTTATTTCTAACTCGATACCAGTGATTTACAAATGTTGCTGAAATGGCATGGTTTTTCCCTGAGCTTCCGGGGGCTCTTGACCCCACCATGGGCTCTAAGGCTGGCCCCTGGTTGCTCATCTGACCGTGATTAAATGCCCCAAAACACTGAGCTTCCGGGGGCTCTGCCCCCTGGACCCCACCTGCCCCCCCCCCCCGTCCCTCGCATTTGGTCTCCCCGGTCATGAAAAGAAATCGCCGCCCCTCCGTGGTACCAACCAGATACCTTTGCTTCGCGGTCTGGGGAACTGACATTGGGCTTTGGGCGTATCAGGACAATTACCCCCTGGGCAATCACCCCCCGGAAAATTACCCCCCGGAAAACTACCCCCCAAGGACAATTACCCCCTGGAAATTTACCCCCCGGAGAATTACCCCCCGAGGACAATTACCCCCCAAGGACAATTACCCCCCCGGAAAATTACCCCCCGGAGAATTACCCCCCGAGGACAATTACCCCCCAAGGACAATTACCCCCCGGAAAATTACCCCCCGGAGAATTCCCCCCGAGGACAATTACCCCCCGAGGACAATTACCCCCCGAGGACAATTACCCCCCGAGGACAATTACCCCCGAGGACAATTACCACCCGAGGAAAACTACCCCCCCGAGGACAATTACCCCCCCCCCCTCGAAACACCATTACCGCGGCCCGAGGACAATCACACCCAGGGAATTTGTAACACTGTGACGTATAATGCGAGCTCATCTTCAAATTGCTATTTAGAGAAAATGTCATGAACTTTCATTTTCTTAGTTATTCATGACGGAATAGATTTGTTTCGTACAGGGGTTGTGTATAAATTATATTTATATTCGTAGCTCACATTCAAAGCCCTCGTACCCATCTGCCAAATCTTTTTGCTTGACGTACATGTATCCTCCTAGGAGGAGATTTCACCCACCCCTCTCGCTCTGTATCCATTCCACCTTTGTGAAGTTTGACTTTGTGAAGATGCCACGTGTATTGAATCAAATGCAATTGCCAGAAGACGCATGTATCAAATCGAATTCAATTGCCAGAAGACGCATGTATCAAATCAAAGTACGGAATTTACATTTCTTAGAAAATTAACAATACATTGCGCGCAGATGAGTACGCGTTAATACAGCTAGTCTCCCCCAAAAAGGCCCAACAAAGACATTAGGATGTAAGATATCATTATTTATGCATCCTCTGTAACTTTTCTAATCAGCTGATCGTATATTTGTCTTTGTATGTATAATGGGTCCTCATCCATGATCTATTCCAAAATTAAGGTTCTCTTCATGTTTATAAATGTAATGTAATATATATATATATATATATATATATATATATATTTCTGTTGTCATGGTGAACTAAAATATGTTTTCTTGTACTGTAATTTATTTTGAAATAAAAATTGCCTTCAAGTTAAATATATGGTATGTACGGTGCCATATTAAAAAAAAATAAGTATCCGCACTTGGGTACATTCATCTCAATGATTTTGTAATTCCAGAGCAGCGTTTTTTCAACTGGGGTGCCGCAAGAGAATGTTAGTTACATGACAATTTTTTTTGGCAAACGTTGATTTTGTGAAAAACAAATATCAGAAACGGGTAGAGTATTTATTTTCATGAGAAAATAAAATGTAAACAAATAATAAAATGTCTTTCTTCCTCGCTCGCTGACAATATTTTGCGAATATATATCTTTTATTTCGACATTACATTGTTACCACACTCATCACAATTATAAACATGATGAATCAAGGCAACGAGGGGCCCGAATATCCTCATATTCGTGTATCAAGGTCATGACCGAATATTTCACTTTATATTCGTGTACATTCGGCGGTGAGGCGCCCGCATACCTTAAATCTGTGCTAGTGTGTTGATTACAACATTATGTTTTACCATTTTGAAAATGTTTTGTCCTTGTTTTTCTTGCTCGTTCACTAAATCAAGAAACAAATGTGCCCATACGTGTGTACATAGCACGTGACGAGTACCAGAGTGATGCAAAATAAATAGTTTGTGAAGAATTTAAGATTGGGCGAAACTTTTCATTTCTTAAGAGGGCATCGTGTCGAACAAAAAGTTGAAATAACGCTGCACAAGAGAAATCCTTCGTAGAAAACAGCAACCACAGTGTTGTTGCATACATTATAGTTAAAGAAAAATGTGTAGTAATGAGGAAGATCACGCGCAAGTATTTTGAAGGAATGTGGGTTCATTCACGGGATTTTATGGGCTCGTAGCCTTCACAGCATCTTTCAACGTGTCAGATCGTCTTTTGCTATGGAATCCTGATTGTCCCCCCCGGGGGGGGGGGGGGGATTGTCCTCGGGGGCGGGTAATTGTCCTCGTGGGGTAATTCCTCAAGGGGTAG